CCTGTTGTTCGAATACATCGCTCGTGTTTCTTTTCCTGTATTTGAGTTCTCTGTTTTCTTTGATTTTTTTATTTCAATTAAACAGCGATTTGGCTGTGACCATGCATTTAGTCATTGGCGACTGTTATTCTTGAATTGTTTGATTGTCATAGTAACATATGCTAAGTACAATTAAACGTCCGGAGTTGGACAGTAGTCATTTCCAACATGATTATTTAATTTAGTTTGATTCCTTCAGTTAAAAATTGAGTTTCCAAAATAAATAAATAATAATACGTACCCTCATTAAAACAAAGTCAAAGTTTTTGAAATTGCTTTTCTGCCTGTTCGCCGATCCGTTGCTCCAAAACACACCTTTAAATACTCTTATTTTCCCAGCATCGATATGGCTCTGCCAACTCTTGTTTCACGTAACATTCGCTGAACGGATCATTTCAGTGCTAAAAAACAAAGACCAAAATAGTTGCATAAGAAGGCAAAATAAACTGCAGTACATATGTAATAAGTAGCGGGAACGGAACGTGTTATTCTAATTGCGTTTGCGTTACGTATTCGGGTGTCAGAAAACGATTAAGTACAAACGCCCACAACGGGAACGTAACTGAAACAGAACCATGTCAACCCGCCTCTCATTGGGCAACCATAATAATATGTCATTTCACGTCCGGAATCTGAATTAGTAGTTAGTTCCCAGACATTTGACAGAGCTCCCCCTATTTCCATCCACTCTGCTGAGGTCCCAGGCTGTTTTACCGAAACCTTATTCAGCAGATTAATGTCGTGCGTTACCATCCATATAAGTACATGTCTCTTCGCGCCGATGACCATTGTGTAATGTTTAGGAACAATTTAGTTCCTTTTAAACTATAGTAGCTGGTTAGTACACGTCGCCTTACGTAACGAGCTGACCAGTTGTGTACGTTTTCAGTGAGTATAAATATCAGCCAAAATGCAACCAATAATTCTTATTTCACCATAAATACACAAAATCACACTAATATAAAACGTTCTATCAGTGTCAGTGAAAAATAATCAAAATTGCCAGCGAGAAAGGCTCTCGGAAATCAACTACGAGTCAGTCACCTTGATCATGTTCAAAATGACTGCCGTACGACCTCCGTACGATGACGTCATTGGTTCGCGTGGAGGTCATGCAGAAAGTAATGACGTATCCGTTCTCGTTCCGTTCCCGTACGCGCATCTTAATGTCTCTAATATGTAAACAGATTTAGGGATCACCCGGCTACGCGATTACGATCTTAAGCGTAATTAGAAGTACAAAATCTATGTTTAGTTATTACTTCAAAATACTCATCGAAAAAACAGATATATCAAAGAAAATTGGTGAGTGGTTCATCCTGTATTAGTATGTCCATGTTCTCAATAAATGGTTAAAGTGAACAAATCACCATGGTAACATAACATAATACATCTTGGATTAGGATAACAATATTAGAAAGTATAGTACTAAGGCACACCAAAAAATGGCTAGAAAAAAAATAACCAAGAGATAATACTCGCTGGAAAACAATACAACATACCTTTGTCGTTGGATTTTTATGAGTTTAAAATGTCAGATCTGGCTCTCAGCTCGAGCATGATTCATGAACGCACGTATCGATATATAGGCTAATACGCTACGACATTGATCTGATCTACATCGGTAACACTTCAATATAATTAGTTGTAACAATAAGTAGTACTTGATGCAATAGAGTTTTGAGAAAATGAAAGAGGTAAAGTTT